GGGTGTCCCTTGAGGATTGTATGCTGTCCAGGTGGTGTTTGGTGATTTAGGGTTTGGTTATCCAGACACCAGTGCCTAGTTGAGTGGCAAGATTTCCATGGCAAACAGGTCTCCTGCTCTTTGGAGACCCACCTGCCACCTGTGGTTATTTGATTTCATGTTTTCCAGATGGTAATTGGCAGTGTTAAGCCTCCCTGCTCAGTGCCGCGGTGGAATTTGATTGGCCTTGCAGTAGCTCTATATTTTCAATTGGCCTGGCCCATTTGCACTTTTCTTTTCACCCTGGTGCATCTTTAGCTTATGGTGGAATTCTGCAAATAGTGGCTTCGGCTCATTATATTTTTCTTTTTTCCCATTCTGAAAACAAGTTTGTAGTTCAAATTTTGACAGAACTGGGTGTTGTATTCGCAAATTTGCAGGGGTGGATTCAATATCTGTTGACAGGAAGGAAAATAAAATGACGGTGATAGCAGACGGAATTGATCCAGTGGTCGTAGTGTGCCGATTGAGAAAGTTCTGTCACGCAGAAATAATTACAGTAGGACCAGCAAAAGAGCCTGAAAAGAAAATAGAACCCAAGAAAGAAGAGCAGAAGCAGCAAGAAGAAGGTCAGATGAGTAAAGATGAAGATCAAGTTAAAAAAGATGAAAATGCTTTTGCTGAGTTGAACATGTCTAACCAGGCCATTATTGATCCCTATTTAGCTCTAACAGTTCCTGAGGAGGATCGAAATGCTTGTGTCCTTATGTAATCTGGCAGATGTCAAAAGTGCTGGTAGAAGTCTGAAGGACAGAAGTTGACATTGAATTTATATCATATTATTAATGGATTCTCTCCCTCATGTAAAATATATATAAATATTTTTCATTAACGTATAATTGTTGTGGTTTTGATCTTCCTGCACCTTTTATTGTTTTGAATGTGGGATGTCCTGTCCAGTTTGTGGTTGGCATTTCTTTTGACAGAGAGGAAGAATGGCAATGGTAACTTGTTCTCAAAATTAGAGCTATGGGTGATAGTACTTTCAATTCCAGGTAACATAAAATTCTGGGATGGATTAGGTCATCCGTGATTTACAATAATTTTAGCTTTAAAATATGTGTGTGGTAGGAAAAAGAGAGGGATTTAACTGGATTGAAAATGAATAAATGAGAAAAAAAATAAAAATTCTTTTGACTTTAGGATATAAAATAAAGGGATTGATATAAAATCATTTAAAAATATATTAAAAAATATATATTTTAATTTTTTTAATATTAATATATCAAAATAATTAAAAAATAATAATCTGAAATTTTTAATTAAAAAAAAAATGTTACATCCACACAAACAAACAGTATAAATCCAGCCCTGCAAATTTGCAAATACAAGGACGCTCAGTTCTGTTTAAGAGAGATCAATAGGTTCTCACAAAACAAGTCAAATCATAATTAGCTCTCGCTTTCTTATCCACAGAGCTTTGAGAGATTTAAACTACAGCCAACTTGGAAAGCTAACTGGGTAGGGGGGAGAGGCAGAGGCAGAGGGGCAGAAATATTTCTCCTTTTTCCAATTTGCAGCCGCTCGCGTCTGAGCAGCAGCGGCGTGTAGATGACGGTGTTACATATATTTGGGGCGTGTCCAGCCTTTTCCTTTTTCCGATTAGTTCACTGGTTTCTTCTGATTCCAGGCTTGGAATTTGGGCTTTCATAGGCCCGGGTCTATTAGTTGATCAAGATGCTTTTATTTTTTAATTTACTTAACTCGTCTATGTCTAGCTTATTTTTTTTTTTAAATAGTAAATTATGAATTAGTTCTTTAAGTTTGAGAAATAAATTATTTATTTTTTAATTTAAAAAAATGAATTATTAAGTCACTAGATCATTGTCGAGAACCCTTAATTTTTTATTACTTTATCCTGAGAAATAATTTTTTTACTCGTCAATCTTTTTATAACATCTATTTAAAAAAAAATAAAAAAAATTGGAAAAAGACTAAATATTTAGTTTTGAAATAAAAAATACTAACTAATATATATTTCTAAAAAATAAATAAAATAATTTATAATTTAGTCTTTACAAAAATAAATAAAATCACCATTTGTTTTTTCCAATAGCAAAGATACCATCCAATGACTAAATGTTATTCAGTTTTTTCTTCTGATTAAGGAAAATTTACAAGCAGAAACTTAATCTAGGTTTCTAGCAACTTTACAAAATCAAATAGAGAGTGGATATCATCCAATGTTAACCTTTAAAAAAGGCATATATTATCCCAAGCAATGCCACACGAAAGAGGTGATGGAAAAAATTGAAGGAAAAATAAAGAGCTTAAATATAAAAGCAAAATAAAGGAATGTTAGAATTAAAAAATCTATGGGGGCTGGTCATCAATCACAATAGCTAGATGATTCTATTTAATTATATCTATATAATCTAAAGAGATAATATTGACTAGATATTGTTTTATATGGTTAATCATCATTCATAATCAATTTGAAACGACATTTATTTTGTCTTTAGAATACCATTAACTGATCTAAGTCAACTGCTTCAAATCTTCATCTTCTATATTAAAAAACAAAAAAAAAAAATTTACCTAAATTCTCTTCAAACTCAGATTTTCCAGCACAAGAAAAGAAATAGGAACCCTAAACCCCTTTCTTCTTGCAAAGACATTAAGGAGCAAGTACACGCCTTTCTTAGCTAGGAGACTGAAGGGGGAATTTAAGCTTGTTAATTAATTGTTATTAAATATCAATGCAACCAGTGGATAAAAACGAACTTATTTTCTGGGCTTGAACTCTGCTGAAATATGAAGTGATGATCATTTACATTCCCATAGGAACAAAAAGAAAACACAAACAAAATTAATGGATTCAAAGAAAACTCAAAATCTTAATCATTTATGTGCTTAGTAAGGTTGTGCCTTGAATTCCTGGGCTTGGTGCTCTTCTTTTCGTTGTCACAAAGAATATGTTATCTGAAACAAGATGTGAATTATTTCTTTGAATCCCTCAAGATTGTTATTTTGACTGTAAATAGTTGAATAAGTATTCTCTTTCACAAGCATCGTGGTAGAACTCTTGACATGATGAGGATATGTGTTTTTGAACAAGAAGCACACAGACTAAGAGGCCAGATACTGTACATCAAGTATTCAAGACTGCCCAGTCTCCATGAACAATATTTTCTCTATCACATAGAGTCAATGCCGGCCTCAATATTCTAGTCTCTAAAGGTTGGTGAGTGATTTGATCATTGGAAATTTAAAATGTTTTCAGCGCTTGCAAGATGAGACCGTTTACTTGAAACATTTATAATGGCTAAGATAATATTATTTGGAAAGAAAAGATACATATTAGTTATTATTTCCATTATATTATGAAGGAAGAAAACAATAAATTAGACATCATATTCTTCCAAAAGGGTAAGCATATCAATTGTCAACAGTGTTTTCTTCCAAATGTACCCACACTACATCATGATAGGAAAGGAAAAAGAATGTTGGAAACTGCCAAAGACAAATCACTAGACAATTTACTAAATTCTTAAGATACGCTTTGAAAAATAAATGTCAGAAAGCACAGCCACCAACCCGCACAAGGATGTAATTACGACAACACGGTCAAAGGCTTTACTTTCCACGGCGAGAAAAGAATAGTCTCCATGAAAAAAAAACACCAATGGGAGGAACCATCTTATCGACTTTGAAATTTGGACCCTGTTCGATGTCATGGCTGACGTTCGAAAACGTCTTCAAGTGGTTTTGAAAATGGAAAATCATTGACATTAATTTTCTGGAACTAATTAAACCTTAGTTAACTTGACTTAAAGCCAATGTGGGGTCAAGTGTTTGTTGATGAATCCGAAGAAGGTACAAATAGAGTCTGAATGCATCTCAAGGATCCTGTCCGTTCCTTTCATATAATGTTGTTTCATCCACAGAGCATCACAACAAGCCCTTTCATCTCAACTTGAATCTCTGGGACCCCATTGAAACTGAAGCTTTCAAGCATGAGTTCATGCATTTTGTGGTTTCTTTTCTTGCAAGTAATTCACCACTCTTTCTCCATCTCATTAGCTAGAGGAGAAAGCGAGATAGACAAGCTTTCGCTACTAGCTTTTAAGGCTCAAATCTCAGACCCCCCTGAAAAACTAAGCTCGTGGAATGAATCGAGACCACACACAATATAAACAACTTTGATTCCTATTGTAGCTACGCTGGAGTTGTCTTTGCTGATGCTTGCTTAGAGGGGGTCAATGGAGTTCCAGATATTGTTGAATGCTCCTTTGTGCAATCAAGCATCACTGATTTGCCTTTCTTTGCCTCTAAGGTGAGTCAATGGTCAGAAGCTAGGCACCAGCTTCACATCACAAGCTGGGCTTGATACGGATAAATCTCTAAGCTGATTGCTGCCGTGATGCTGCAGGCAAGGCTAGGAAAGAATGGCGTGGAGGAAGTCTTTGGATTGGGTCCTCTTTCAGACTATGAACAACATTACAACAGGGTCTTGAAAGCCTCAAGCCGGAGCTTAAAGCTTCTATAGAGAAGGGAGTTGAGTTTGCCAATCAAAATCAATTGGACAAGTTATGCAATATTTTTTAATCATATTTTGGAACAGTATAGTCACTGTTTTCCCGGCATATGAAAATTTAGTTAGTCTATGGATTTTTCAAGTTTCAAATTTAATTAGTCACTATTTTGGAATCAAATTTCTTATGAAAAATTCAACTACTATGGAGATGGATTTAATTAGTCTAGGACAGATTTATAGACAAAATTTCTGTCATGGTGGAGTGTCTTTTAGTGTGTTTCAAACTCAGTCGATGAGTTGTTGTTTCAATGGCAAAATAATGATCAACGGCAAGTTTAAGAGAAAGTCATCGCCACTACTCTCATATAGTATTGCTTGGAGTATCTGATTAAGAACCTCAATAAGGACACATTACACATGAATGAATAAAATATATACAAAAAAGAGGGGGAACACCTTATTCAATGTGACACACTTTGCAACCTTCACCATGTTCTTGTAGAATGGATATGAAAATTGAAAGGTTCAAAAGCTTTAGCCCATATAGCAACAGACTTGGGCATAGACATATTGAGGCTCGAGTGAAGCTCAGAAAAGAAGTTGGGGTTTTCGGAATAATTCACTGCGCATTTCTCAATTGACTTGAATGTCTTCGGATTGGTGTTTTTACAACGTCGAGACATTTCGATGTTGTGCACAAAAATCTATCTCATTTGCAGCTCTTTTGGGATGATAAATTATTGTATAAAAATTTGAGAAATACACATGCCAAAATGACTAGTCCTGCCAAATACTTGATGAACCTGTAATAAGGAATTTCATCGAGCATCTAACACCCTTTATTGAACCTCTCCACTGATGTCATGTTTACCAGTATCTTGTTCAGAGTTTCATCGACTTTGAAAATTGGACCCCATTTGATGGCATGTTTAACGTTGGGAAACGTCTAGGGGTTATGAAAATGGAAACTCATGAACATTAATTTTCTTGAACAGTTTATGAAAATTGGACCCTATTTGAGTTTATGAAGTAACTTAATAAAACGTCTAGAAGAGGCACCTCACCTTCAAGGAGAATACCAAGCTTCATGAGAGAATGTGCAGCCTTGCTAAACATGAGGCACCGGAATCTTGTCAAAGTATTATATGCATATGCTGGCGTTGATCTTCAATGTGATGATTTTAGAGCTCTTGTTTATGAGTTAATGATCAATTAAAGTCTAGAAGAATGGTTGCATCCAAACCAAACATTGTATCAGGAAGTGCATGAGCCAAGAAATCTTAATCTCATTCAGAGGTTAAACATTGCAATTGATGTGGCTAATGCGCTCGACTATTTGCACAACCATTGCAAAACGCCTATTGCTCATTGTGATCTTAAGCCTAGTAATGTTCTTCTCGATGGAGATATGACTGCTCATGTTGGGGACTTTGGATTGTTAAAGTTCCTTTCTGAAGCATCCTGTCAGACAAGCTCTGTTGGATTAAAAGGCACCGTTGGCTACGCAGCTCCAGGTAACACACAGCACTAGAAGGATATGTATTCCATTATTTACTATTTTTCTCTTGACATTCACCTGAAAGGTCATGAACAACCCTGATTAATTAACCATGCAAACAAATGGACTGCAGAGTATGGCATCGGAAGCGAGGTGTCAACTTTGGGGGATGTGTACAGCTATGGCATCCTACTGCTGGAGATGATTACTGGAAAGAGACCTACAGATAGCATGTTTAAAGATGGAATAGAACTTCACAATTATGTTAAAATGGCATTACCTGACCGTGTAGTTGATGTTGCGGATCCGAAACTTGTGATAGAAGTTGATCAGGGAAAAGACGCTCATCAAATCCTGGAGTGTTTGATATCAATTACCAAGGTAGGAGTGTTTTGTTCAGAAAAGTTTCCAGGAGAGAGAATGGGCATCAGCAATGCTGTAGCTGTATTGAATCGAACCAAGGCCAATTTTCTCGAAGGCATGAACAGCTACCCTCCTAGAAGTTCCAGCTGGCCCTGCAGGGTCCAGGCGACTTCGAAGTGAGTGTGTGACATGAGGATTAATAGAGTTCAAATATTGTAACTTGCTTATTTGCATTAGCATGAGTCCTACCTAGCTACTAGTCCGAAGCGTCCCTGAAAGGGCACGAAACCTGTTTAAGTGCCTGTCTTGTTCAAGCATTCTGTTCTGTGTAACTAAACGTTATGCAAAAATCAAGCACTCTCATTTTACATGTCACTTTTTACTTGACAAACGACAGGAACTATGCCAAGCTATACAAATTAACTGAGCTTCTACCGGCAACAAAATTCACTAAAAGAAGGATTGCTTTGACATTGTTAATTATGAGTAATTTTGGTGACGAGAAATAAAATCCTCTAATTAATCTCAAGCCCTTAACATTTACTTCTAATTAACATTAAAGACTGTTAATAATGGCGACGGATTGCCTTCTGCTCGTGACCTTGCTGCCGATATTCTGCTGGAACGTGAGAGAGGTTACGAGTGTTCTTGTCAAGCATCCATTGTAATTCCCTTGAGAGCGAGCCCATTGAAGTTTTGATTCATGGAGAATACATTCCAAGGTTGACGTCATGCATGTGTTCCAAATCGAGAATGAAGTAAACTGAATTAGTCTCTTTGAAACGCATTCCAAATATAATTATTAAATATAATATGATAACGAAGTTGTTCCAATCCACCAATCTTGAAATTAAAACCTCTAAAACCCAATTACACATGATAACATAAAAAAAAAAAACAAGCTGTGAAGAGAAGTGATAGAGAAATATCATACATATAAGAAATATAAATATTCAAAACGGTATGAAAGATGAGTAGAAGTTGACAAAAGATACTAAAAGATTCATCGTGTTGAAGATTTAAAAGCAGGGCCGAACTAGAAGGTGGTGGTAATCGGAAATTGACCAAGCACTGTCGCTAGCTGTGATATTTATAAATGCTTTCTTGACTAGGGAAATTAATTATTATTGATATTGCCTCGCCAACGTGCTAAACCACTGTTTGAGAATTAGTGGGTTAATCTTTTGACCGATCATGTCATGTAATTAATTGATTTAGGGAAATCTAAACAACTGTTAAATCCAAGTGGGATCTGAATATATTTTTTTAATTTTTCTTAAGTGATATTGTTTTAAAAATAAATAATATGAAATTGTTTTTTTTATATATATATACATACCTTGGGTTAACCCACCGTTTTATATAAAACTCAAGGCTGAGACAGCACCTACTCAAGAGAGGCAAATTACCATCCTACGAAGGAATATGGCCACCCCGAGCCTTATTTTAAAACATTTTTTTCCCACCGCCTGGCATCAATATCAACTTATTCATTTTAAAGTCTAGAGTTAAGTGGATGATTTTAATGCATGATCCTGAGGACTGTTCAGTTATTGCTCATTAAATAGCAGTAGGTTAGTTATATCACTCGTATTTTATTTTATTGTGGGTCAGATTTTTTATTTTAAAAAAATTATTTATATATTTTTTAATATATTTTGTAGTTTCAACTTATTGATTTAATTCTTAAATTTATTATTTTTTCAATTAATATAAATATTTAAATTAATCTATATGTATCTTAATTAATTTTATAAACTCTAAAATTAATAAACATATAATTCTCTAATCATTTTAAAATTTGACATTAAAGTTAGGAGTGTACTGTATCTTACGTTGAGATTGTATCATGAGCAATCAATGAGACTGTTTCTCTTTGGGTTTGTGGGGCCCATGATTTTGCTCGTAGAAGAATCCATTAGTTTTGATCCTAACTTGAATATGCTTGGCCCATTAGTCCTTTTCAATGGATGACGGCCCATTAGTCCTTTTCAATGGATGACGGCCCATTGATTTTCTTTATCTGTTTCCTATCTACACACAGGAGCTTCTCGAATTGTTTCCCACTGGTCAACTCAGCCGAATGCTCTTTTTTTTTTTACCAAACCAATTGTTGCACCTACTAGTTTTCTTATTCTTTTCTAGTTTTAATTTTTCAATAAAAAAATAAAAAATATATTCATTTGTTAAAAACAAAATGAATTTTTCAAATACAAAATATATCACAATTACAAGTTTACAACTGTTTTTCATTAAAATAATAATTCAGAATCATAGTTTATAGTACTCATATTACTTTTGGGTTATAATCTAATTTTAGAATATTAATTTTATTTCATTCAAATTAAAAATTAGTTAGCTGAACATAACGTTATATTGTAAGCACTGTTTTCTAAACATGAAAAATAAAAATAAATAAATGTGATAACGTTATATTAAAAATCTATTAAAAATTAAAAAACATAATTTTTTTTGTTAATGGAATATTCATGATTTTTTTTTAAATCTAAATTAAAAAAAAATTAAAGGGTAGAGGCTTGATGTCTAGCCCAATAAACATAAATAGATGTGTATGAGTCTGCAAGCTTAGAACCAAGTGGTTGATCCTCTTCTTTTTTTAAGGGGCGAACAACATATAATCCACTCTTTCTTTTTATGAAAAAGAAAGGCACCCGACATATTATCTAAATTTTGATTATCAGAGAGCTGGTTGGAAAATTTGATAAGGATGTTTTGGGTTCAAAAATCTATTTTTAACATGTTTTAATTTAAAAATATCTATTAAACATCCTTAACACCTCATTAAATCAATTTCTTAACTCAAAATACCCTTGAATTAATCCTAAAATAAAAAATCAAACTGATAAAAAATTCTCTCTTAATCTTAATTTATTTTTTCAAGCAAAAAAAAAATCTAAAACATTTTAATAGAATTGTTTTTGAATAAAACTAATTAATATCAAAATCATCTTTTTTTTATCACTAAAATATGACCAACCGTGATTAAAATATAAAATTTAAATTTTATATTTTCTTAATCAAAACCTTTTTTGTATTCATTCATTTCCTTTTGTTTTGTCAAAAACATCTTTTTATATTAGTAGCAAGATAATTTTTTAAAAAAAAAGATTTAGGTGATTAAAATAAATACTTTGAAAATTACAATGATTTAAATTAATGAGGAAAAAATATTTTTTTTTATCAAAACTCTCTTTTTTTATTTATGTATATTTTTTTGAGGAAAACATTTTATTTTTTCATTAGAAACATGTTTTCCAAATTGAGATTTATCATGATCTGTAAAGCAAGCTTCAATCCAGGAAAAAACAAATTCACGCCTTGATAATTTATTTGTAACTATATTAAAAAGATCAAAAAAATAATTAGTTTGAGAAAAGTATATAAAACAAAAGGCACTGCAGCCATTTTTCCCGACAATTAATGGCGGCCATCTCCCTCACGATAGTTGAAGGAATCCAGCCAGCACATCGTTAAAAACACCGTTCAATGAAATATCTTACGATAATGAATTTATAAAAATTTACGATAATGAATTTATAGAAATTTAAATTAGATAATTTCATTAACAAAATTAGATGTATAGATTTGAAGTTTTTAGATATAAAGTAAAACTTTGAAATATTTTGTTGAATAGTTGTTGTAATTTAGATATCTTCTGGGTTAGATTTGAGCGTAGAAGACTTTGTGGAGGGTTTTTTTTTTAATTACTTTTATTTTGCTAGATTCATTAAAAATTAGATTAATTAATAATAATTGTTAATTTTAAAAGAATCTTATTTTAAATTAAATAAGAAGTGTTCCTAAGCATAGGAGGAATTCTCTCTGAAATGAAAAGTCTAGGCATGCTTAGACTTGGAATGCCAAGTTCCAATTTAGTAACTGACACATCATCAACTACAATAATTTTCTGCCCATATCAAAAAACCAAGATTGAAGTTTTTGAACCCTCAAACCTAAATCTCAACATATTTTTAATCAAAAATACTAAAAAACAAAAAAACCTTAATAATCTTATTCTCAACCACAAAGCAAATTTTAATAAAATTAAAACTTAAAATCAATTAAATTATAATAAGATTAAAAATCAAATAACCTTTATTGATATCCTATCACTGATATAAACTCGTAATACCATAATTAATGGTTTTTACAGCTAGAATGTATCTCCTTGAAAGTTTTTTATTTTTATTTTTTTGAATGATTCTTTTTTGTTCTAACTCAAATTTTAGAATTGAAATATAAAAAATAAAGTTTATTGATCAAAATAAAAAGTTGAAAACTATAATGACAAAAAAGTTGAAAGATACACCTCCTAAATAGTAAAATCAAAGCTTAATTCTTTCTTTTTTTAAAAAAAAACCCTTTTCAACTATAATCTAAAATTCCATTTCATAGCACTATCTTTAATGTAATGTAAAAGTAATCTTTGTACTACCGTGTTCACAAGAACATGCATCCCAAAACATGTTCTAACACATAAAACTATATTAATGTAACTTCTAATCATCATATAAAAAAATTCATTGAGTGAAATATAAATAACAAAAAACTTTAGAGACCTAAAGAGGAAATCAACCTTAAAAAAACTGGAGTGTTGATGAACAGTGAAAAACTGAGCACTTTTAAGTTTTTTTATTTGTTATTGTTAATGTTAATTTATAATTATTTTTATGAGGAAAAATGTTGTTGAAGATATGTGATATCTTTACAGACCATCACGTGAACTCTTATCAAAATTATTGGAAGGATGAATCTACTATTTATTGAAAGATAATTTATGATATTAAATTAAAAAATTTAAAGGTTTTGTTTATAATAAGATATTCAAAGCAACGTATACGACCCACCTTCAATGATACCCGCTCCAGCCACCACGCTGTGGTCCCTGCAAGCGACCCAGCCCCTAGCTTCCTGCCAATAAGATAAGTACGACATGCGTGCCGACATTTGGTGCTTGAATGAAGAAGTTGGGAACAGGCAATTGATTTCGCTTACTGATGGCGGCATAAAAAACCGGGCCAAGCACCAAGAAGAAATGGGCTAAAAAGAGTCCAATCACAAGAAAAAGGGCTCAAACCCAAGCCCAACACAAGAAACAAAAAAACTCAAAACCAAGCCCAGCACCAACACCAGGAGGAAAAAGGGGGCTAGAAAACCGAACCCACAGAGAAAGAAACAAGGCTGCAAAACCGAGCCGAGAGGAGAAGAAAAAGGGTTGCAAACCGAGCCGAACACCAAGCAGAAGATGGTCTCGAAACCGAGCCCAAGAAGGAAGGAGAAGAGAAGATCTGAAAACCAGGCTTAATAATGCTGGAAAAGGAGTTCGAATCCAATCCGAGCACATTGATCCCTTC